GTGGAGACGGACGGAGGAGGGAACCAGACGCTGATGAGGATTGTAGGGAATGTAAACCAGCGGAGCAGAGCGGCGAGGAGGGTAAGGGATAGGAGTAAACGATCCGGCGTCGAGTGGTGAACTGCATCCAGCTTACGTGGCAGAAGAATGAATGGGATCCAGGTACACCACTCCCCGCTGCAGGTGAATTCACTCAGGTAATAATCCAATGACTGCACCCACAGGAATCTCAACACATGCCACGCTCACGCCCACGTAAGAGAGGGAGAGGGGAGACGAGGGGGAAAGAGAAAAAAACGGCAGAGACTATACAGAGCCAGAGGTGGAAGCCCTGACAGTACCCCCCCACGTCCATGCGCACCTCCTGGAGCGCATCTAAACTTCTGTGGGTGTCGTCTTTTAAAATCTCAGACGAGCGTGGGGTCCAGAATCTGGTGACGTGGGATCCAGCGTCTCTCTTCAGGACCATACCCCTCCCAGTCGACCAGGTACTGAAAACCATGCCCCTGCCAACGAACATCCAGGAGACAATTGACTGTGATGCCCGGTGCATCATCCACCATCCTGAGCGGTGGAGGGGGACGGACAGGGCGGGGGCAGGACACTGTCCCACACCGGCTTTACTTGAGAAATGTGGAGCGTAGGGTGAATCTTCATAGTAGCAGGAAGGTTCAGACAAACTGCACTGGGGTTGATAATATAGTCAATCACAAACAGGCCAACTAACTGTGGTGCCAACTTCTTGGACTCACCCATAAGGGCAAGTCTTTGGCCTTAAGCCAAACCTTTTGCCTGGGCTGGTATCGTGGAACCGGCACCCAGCGTCAGTTGGCCTGGACTTCCATATTCCGGGAAGCCTTGGTCAGGGCTGAGCAGGCCTTTTCCCATGTTTTCTTACACTTACGAATGAAGACTTGCACTGAGGGAAGTGTATCTTCATGCTCTTGATCTGGAAACAGGGGAGGTTGGTATCCAAGGGAACACTAAATGGGGGAGCATCCAGATGAGGCGTTAATGTGCGAATTGTGAGCATACTCCACCCAAATCAGTTGTTGACTGCTCCAAGTTGTAGGATTGTCTGAGACTAGGCAGTGCAGGAAGGTCTCCAGGGACTGGTTTGCTCTCTCCGTCTGGCCATTCAACTGGCGGTGATATCCAGACGTTAGACTTACGGATGCCCCACGGGCAGAACAAAAGCCTTCCATACCTCCCATGTGAATTGTGGTCCACTGTCAGAAACAATGTCCACTGGAATCCCATGCAGCCGGAACACCGCTGTCACCACAGCGGAAGGAAGCTTTGGGACCGCAACAAAATGGGATGCTTTGGAGAAGCGATCGACAATGGTTAGTATTACCGTGTTACCTTGAGAGGGAGGAAATCCGGTAACAAAATCTACGGTTATATGGGACCAGGGACAGCTCAGGACAGGCAGGGGTTGGAGCAGATTAGAACTGTGTTGATGAGAGGCCTTATTTCGGGCGCAGATGGTACATGCGGCCACAAACTCCCTGGTGTCAGCTTCCATGAATGACCATCAAAACCTCAGTTGCAGGACGTCCAGAGTGCGGGCTGTCCCAGGATGGCACGACAGCTTAGACGAATGAGCCCATAGCAACACCTGGGAGCAAACATTATTAGGGACAAACAAGGAATTCAGTGGTCCGTTACCTGGATCTAGTTGTTGGTTCTGGGAAGGTCTAACTTGCTCCTCAACTTCCCAGGTAAGTGAGGCA